CAGGCCATAGAGAGATACATAGAGATATATAGTATAGTGCATGCTGCATAACATCTATAATGTATTAAGTTAGTATATACTACATTATGTATAATATATGCAATTTATATTATTACATATAACTTATGTATACTATATGTAACTACATATATACATTAATAAATTAATATACAATATAGTGTATTATACATGCACCTCTATTATATAATAAATTACTAATACATAATATATTGTATATAATATGCTACATATTATATAATAAATAATGCACATATATTGTATATATGATGTAGAATCCATTATATTACACATTCAATATCTAATAAATAGTATATATTATGCTACATATAATATAATAAATTAATAGTGTATATATTATACAATATATTATAATAAATATATAAAGTAGAGAATATTATATTGCACACTTATTATATAATATATTAATAAATTTGGCCAGGTGTGGTGGCTCACAACTGTAATCCCAGTACTTTGGGAGGCCAAGGTGGGTGAATCACCTGAGGTCAGGAGTTCGAGATTAGCCTGGCAAAAGAGGTGAAACGCGGTCTCTACTAAAAATACAAAAATTAGCCAGGCATGGTGGTGCGCGCCTGTAATCCCAGCTACTCAGGAGGCTGAGGCAGGAGAATCGCTTGAACCCAAGAGGTGGAGATTGCAGTGGGCCCAGAAGGTGCCACTACACTCCAGCCTGGACGACAGACAAAGGCTCTGTCAGAAAAATAAACAAACAAATAAAAATTAATTAATACTATATAATATATATATTACTACTAGTAATAGTATTAATAATACCTGACATTAATTGAGTGCTTACTATGCCCTATGTGCTATTCTAAGCACTTTACATGTAAGAGCAGTTCAATTGTATGTAAGAGTGAGACATGAGATGTGACCTCAAAATTCAAACATCCTCTTGAGTAGTTGAGAGGAAGAGCTAAGCCCCACTGAGTGCCAGACATGACAGGCACGGGAGACTTCGCCCACCCATTTCTCCCTGAGCCAGCCCTGAGGGAGAGGCAGGACGATGCCTGTTTGCTGGAGAGGTAGACTGAGGCAGGGAGAAGTGGAAAGACTTGCCTTGGGCCACCAGCTTCAGAGTCCCATCTGCCTGACTCCACACATCCTTCTCACCTCTGGCTGTCTCATCTGTGACACTTCTACATTTCTCCTGCTTCAGGCTGGGAATTCCCCGAGGGACAGCCCTGAGCCGCCTCTCTGTCTTATCTCTGCCAGGGATGCAGGAGACAGGGAGGCTTGGCGAAGGTCTTCGGGTTTTTGTTTGTCTGTTTTTGTTTTGTTTTGTTTTGTTTGAGACAGACTCTCGCTCTGGCAATGGCGCGATCTCGGCTCACTGCAACCTCTGCCTCCTGGGTTCAGGCAATTCTCCTTGCCTCAGCCTCCCAAGTAGCTGGGATTATAGGCCCCCACAACCATGCCTGGCTAATTTTTGTATTTTTGGTAAGAGACAGGGTTTCACCATGTTGGCCAGGCTGGTCTTGAACTCCTCCTGACCTTAGGTGATCCACTCGCCTTGGTCTTCCAAAGTGCTGGGATTACAGCTGTGAGCCAGCACACTCAGCCTCATTATTTCATTTGATTTGATTTTTGTAGAGAGAGCATCTGGCTGTATTGCCCGGGCTTGTTTCAAACTCCCGGCTTCAGATGGACAGGGTGGCTCAGCCTGTAATCCCAGCACTTCGGGAGCTGAGGTAGGAGGATCACTTGAGCCCAGGAGTTTGAGACCAACCTGTGCAACGTAGGGAGACCCCATCTCAACAACAACAAAAAAACTTAGCTGGGCATGGTGGTGTGCTCCCCTGGCCCCAGCTGCTCAGAAGGCTGAAGTGGGAAGATCACTTGAGCCCAGAAGTTTGAGGCTGTAGTGAGCTAAGATGGAGCCACTGCACTCCAGCCTGGGTGACAGAGCAAGACCCTGTCTCAAAAAATAAGAAGAAGATACAAGAAATACTTAAAAAGAAACCCTCCTGGCTTCAAGCAATCCTCCTGCCTCAGCCTCCCAAAGTGCTAGGATTCCAGGTCTGAGATCCTGTGACCGGCCTGAATTAGTGTGCTAGGGGTGCCATAACAAAGTCCCACACACCAGGTGGCTTGAACAAGAGCAATGTGTTGTCTCACACTACTGGAGGCCTAGATGAAGATGTGTGCAAAATCACTTCTTTCCAAGGGGTGTGAGGGAGAATCTGTTCCATCTCCCTCCCTCCCTGGCTTCTGGTGATTTTCTGGGAATCTTTGATGTTCTTTGGTCTGGAGATGCATTACTCCAATTTTTGCCTTCCTCACACATGGCATTTTTCCTGAAAGCGTGTCTGTGTCCAGATTCCTCTTTTTATAAGGACGGCAGTCTTTGTTTTATGTTTTGTTTTGTTTTTTAGATGGAGTCTTGTTCTGCCGCCCAGGCTGGAGGGCAGTGGCATGATCTTGGCTCACTGCAACCTCCACCTCCCAGGTTCAAGTGACTCTCCTGCCTCAGCCTCCCGAGTAGCTGGGATTACAGGCGCCCACCATCACACCTGGCTAATTTTTGTATTTTTAGTAGAGACAGGGTTTCACCGTGTTGACCAGGCTGGTTTCAAACTCCTGACCTTAGGTGATCCACCTGTCTTGGCATCCCAAAGTGCTGGGATTACACTGGGCAGGAGCCACCAGGCCCAGCCCAGTCTTTGGATTAGAGTCCCACCCTACTCTAGTGTGATCTCTTCATAACTAATTATATTTGCAAAGACTCTATTGCCAAATAAGGTACCATTCTAAGGCACTAGTCACAATTTCAACATAAAAATTTGGAGCTGGGGACAGAAAGATATAACTCAACCCATACAAATATCCATGGAGAACCTGTCAGGAATTTCTCTCACTGAGGCTTCTACAAGACAAAAGACTGGGTTTTACAAAGATCCTAGACTTTTTACTTTTCAATGGCAAGATGCAAGGTTTGAGGTATACCATTTTCCTGGGTGCTCCAGCAGACAGAATAGCCAAGCAGTTAGGAGCGCGGGCCTTGGAGCTTGGATTCCGACTCCAGCTGTTTCTAATTATGAGACCTCGGCAAGTCACTTTACCTCTCTGGGTCTCCATTTCTTCACTTGAAAAATAAGAATAAAAATGGTACTTATAGAATAGGACTCTGGAGGAACAAATGACATCACACCTGGGTAGTGAGCCTGGCATATAGTTAGCTATTGCCAAAGGAGGAAGAGATTATTATTATCTTTCCCACAGCATCTCCTGAGGGGCCAGCGCTGGGCAAAGCACAAGAGAAGAATGGCCCCAGTGCTCAACACTCATTCATTTCACGCATTTATCGAGCACCCATTATGCACCAGGTGCTAGGTGCTGGGGACCCTGTGGTGAATGAGACAGCAAGGCCCTTGTCCTTGCAGAGCTAAGGATTTACTGAGGAGAGACAGACATTATAAATCAGTTAAAAACAAGTAAAAAGGACATTTTCAGATATAAGCAAGTAGTATAAAAGAAATGAAAGAGTAGGCCGGGTGCAGTGCCTCACGCCTATAATCTCACACTTTGGGAGGCCAAGGCAGGTGGATCACTTGAGGCCAGGAGTTCCAGACCAGCCTGGTCAACATGGCAAAACCCCGTCTCTAATAAAAATACAAAACTTATCCAGGCGTGGTAGTGTGCACGTGTAGTCCCAGATAGTCAGAACCCTGAGGCAGGAGAATTGTTTGAACCCCGGAGGCGGAGGCTACAGGGAGCTGAGATTGTGCCACTGCACTTCAGCCTGGGTGACAGAGGAAGACTCAGTCTCAAAAAAAAAAAAAAAAAAAAA